AGTCAGGTTTCAGAGCTCATCACGGCACAGAAACAGCTTTAGTGAAAGTTACAAATGATCTTCTTATGGCCTCTGACAGTGGACTCATCTCTGTGCTTGTCCTGCTAGACCTTAGTGCAGCATTCGATACTGTCGACCATAATATCCTATTAGAGCGATTAGAACATGCTGTAGGTATTACAGGTACTGCACTGCAGTGGTTTGTATCATATCTATCTAATAGACTTCAGTTTGTTCATGTAACTGGAGAGGCCTCTTCACACACTGAGGTTAATTATGGAGTTCCACAGGGTTCAGTGCTAGGACCAATTCTGTTTACATTATACATGCTTCCCTTAGGCAGCATCATTAGAAGACATAGCATACATTTTCACTGCTATGCAGATGACACCCAGCTCTATCTGTCCATGAAGCCAGATAACACACACCAATTAGTTAAACTGCAGGAATGTCTTAAAGACATAAAGACCTGGATGGCCGCTAACTTTCTGCTTCTTAATTCAGATAAAACTGAGGTTATTGTACTCGGCCCTGAAAAGCTTAGAAATATGGTATCTAACCAGATTCTTACCCTGGATGGCATTACCTTGGCCTCCAGTAACGCGGTGAGGAACCTTGGAGTCATTTTTGACCAGGACATGTCCTTCAACGCACGTATTAAACAAATATGTAAGACTGCGTTCTTCCATTTGCGCAATATCTCTAAAATTAGAAATATCCTGTCTCAGAGTGACGCTGAAAAACTAGTTCACGCATTTATTACTTCCAGGCTGGACTACTGTAATTCATTATTATCAGGATGTCCAAAAAACTCACTGAAAAGCCTTCAGCTAATCCAAAATGCTGCAGCAAGAGTATTGACAGGGACTAGAAAGAGAGAGCATATTTCTCCTGTTTTGGCTTCCCTTCATTGGCTTCCTGTTAAATCCAGAATTGAATTCAAACTCCTGCTCCTCACATACAAGGTCTTAAATAATCAGGCCCCATCTTATCTTAATGACCTTGTAGTACCATATCACCCTATTAGAGCACTTCGCTCTCGCTCTGCAGGCCTACTTGTTGTTCCTAGAGTATTTAAAAGTAGAATGGGAGGGAGAGCCTTTAGTTTTCAGACCCCTCTTCTGTGGAACCAGCTTCCAGTTTGGATTCGGGAGACAGACACTATCTCTACTTTCAAGATTAGGCTTCAAACTTTCCTTTTTGCTAAAGCATATAGTTAGGGCTGGACCAGGTGACCCTGAATCCTCCCTTAGTTATGCTGCAATAGACATAGGCTGCCGGGGGATTCCCATGATGCATTGAGTTTTTGCTTTCCAGTCACCTTTCTCGCTCACTATGTATTAACAGACCTCTCTGCATTGAATCATATCTGTTGTTAACCTCTGTCTCTCTTCCACAGCATGTCTTTTATCCTGTCTTCCTTCTCTCACCCCAACCGGTCGCAGCAGATGGCCGCCCCTCCCTGAGCCTGGTTCTGCCGGAGGTTTCTTCCTGTTAAAAGGGAGTTTTTCCTTCCCACTGTTGCCAAAGTGCTTGCTCATAGGGGGTCATGTGATTGTTGGGTTTTTCTCTGTATCTATGAAGCGCCTTGAGGCGACTTATGTTGTGATTTGGCGCCATATAAATAAAGTTGAATTGAATTGAATTGAAAAAGTTGAATTGAATTGAATTGAATGAAACAACTTACTTATGTGACCACATATGAAGTGTTATAACTTACCACAAAAGGTGAACTGTGCCACTGACCCTTGGTAGATCTGCACATGATAAAAAAAAAAAGCATTATAAATACTAACACAGCTATTAATAATTAAACTAGTGGGGTACATTTAAGATGTTAATGTCACAAAATAAAATAGACTGGTAGAAAGAAGTACAAGGAAATGGTAATGGGGGGAGCCATGAAAATATATCTTTTCAACATGATTCAGTGTGACAAAGCAAGGGCATGATTTTTTAAAAAAAAACAAAAAATAAACAGGTTGTCACGGTCCTGGGTCAGTGACCCAGTGTTTTGAGTTTCTTGTGCCTCTGAGTTTTTTGTATTATGTTCTTAGTTCTCTTTGTTGTCCCAGCGTATTCTTTAGTGTAGTGTCTTAGTTTGGTTTTCTTGTATTCTGTTTAGTTCTGAGTATTTGGTAGCTGCCCTCTGTGTTTCTTAGTTGCTCTGTCTCCCCTAGTCTAGTTTGCATCTGTGCTAATTCCTGTTTTACTTTGAAGGTCTGTGTCTCATGTGAGTGTATCCTACTTTGCTCCCTTGTCTCGTCAGTTCTGATTTCTCCCAGCTGTGCTCTCCTTCTGTGTCTCATTCCCCTGGTTACTTCCCATTGTATTTAAACCCTGTGTTTCTCTGAGGCAGTGCTGCGTCGTCCCTTAAGCTGTGTGTTTCTTCGTGTGCCTCTCTGCAAGGTGTGAGTTTATATTTTCCCAGTTTAATTTTGTATGCTCGTTTTCTGTGACTAGCAATTAAAGCTGTGATTTTGAGTTCATCCCCTGAGTCTGAGTCCTGCATTTTGGGTATCTATAATGCTTCATTTGGCCATCTACAGTGATGGCCAAATGAAGCTTTCCGAAGCACTGAAGCTTGTATTGAAAAACGGTTCATTACTCGAAGCTTTTCAACACAGTCCTTTCCGGTGACATCTGGTGGTGAAAATTTTGAAGAGCAGCTTGAATCTGCAAAATAAAACGGACTGCTCAATTATCACTGCTCACTCAAGAGTGGAGTTCTCTCTGATATTGGGCCACCGTTCCGTTGCTTTGAACATGTAATTGGTTTTGTTTTCTCGATTGGGGGGCTGAAAAAAATGTAATGCGTATTTGCGTAATACATTTTGATCAATAAACTTTCCCTATTTAAACATGCACTATGGTGGCCTTTCTTTGCTCATAACTCCTTGATGTTGGTAAATACAATAAGTGAGCAATATATATAATATACATATGATAATGCACAGCACATTATGGAGTATGCCCCTGCTGTGAAGTCCTGCCTCCATCTACTTGTCGTTTAATCACTGGACAGCTGGACAGGTTCATACAAAATATTAGATTAGGCCAATTGTCCTATACATATTTTTGACCTAGGGGTGGGATTGATTGTGAACTGGAAAGGGAAAATGCTTAGGAAGCTGAGTAGGGCTGCATCGTCACTGATTTGTAGAATCATTTTGATTCGATACAGGATCTGATTCAATTTGATTGGAATCTGGAAAGTTTTGCCTCAGTCAGAAATATTACAAGTCTGATCATTTAACAGTATATATCCATAATTTCGTATCTATTAAAAGAAAGCTGACACATGTGAGACTTAATTAGAGATGTAAACAGAGAGTTATGAAACCTGCAGCTGCAGAAGCCAGCGGGGAAAAAAAGAGGCAAACACAGCGCGGACCCGCCGACACAGCAAAATCTGACTCTGACGGGTCGGGTCCGCGCTCTGTGTTCACGTTTGTATGCAGAATCCGTAAACCTGCTCCCAGTTACTGTTTTAGCTGCATGGTGTTTGACGACATGTTTGTGAGGTTTAACCTGAGATGCTGGCGTTTCAGGCATAATAACGTTAATTTACAAATCGACACGGGATTTTAATGAATCAATATCACTTTATTCAATTTAGCATGGATTGTAATCAGAAAGGCGATAATCAAAACCCACCCCTAATCAAGAACTTGCAAAGTAAAAACATGATCAATGTAAGGTAGCCCTTTTGTTATTTACAGTTAACAAGAGGATTAGTGTCACTGTGCGCTGGCTGAGTCTGTTTCTTTTCTTAGAAATAGTTTCTCCTGCCCTGAAGAAAATCCACTTGCATGGAACAGAAGAGGCTGTGGAGTGCAGGAACTACACTGCAAGTTGGTAGATATGCAGGTATTCCTGGGTCCTGCAGACTATCACCTAAAAACAATAAACAAAATGATTTTCTAAACTGTGTAGCAATGTCATGTACGTATAGTGTCAAATACATTTTTGTAGTCTTCATCAGCTTTAATTCACATGGAAGTGTTCCTAAAGTCATATGCTGTAATGATATTTACATTATGAAAACATGATTTTGGACATTTCAAGTTTTTCACTTCGGCAGATAAAATGAATTGAGCAAAATCAACTCAAAATATTCCCACACGCCAGAACGTCCTCTCTTCCTCGCTGGCTCCATATCTGTCAGTGGAATGATCACCTCGTCGCTATCTGTCACCATCAACACACTCCACGAATCCCGTGGATGATTCACTTCCTTATATCTGTTTGAATCAGGTACCGAAGCAGTTACGTGCGTAATGAAGCTTCGGACGTCACTGGTCACGTGACTTTTGCCAAACGAAGCAAGCCTCGACACAGTGCTTCTGAACCAGTGTGTTGTTTTTTTCGACACACGCTCCGGAGCGTCAGCTTCAAGCGGACCATCACTAGTTTGCACTATGGAAAGCACAAACTCAACTTCTAAATGAAAGAATGAGACAGGTCAGTTTTACTATAGATGCACTCTGGAACAAGATTAGTCAGACTGCAGGTACTCAAAGCACCTTGCACGCTCCTGCCACTACGTAAGCCAACGGCGAGGTGACGTTTTTCACTGCATTTTTGCATTTACCTCAGTTAGTGTAGCCCCGGTGCTCTTTTTGAATCTGTTCATGTTTTTCTAACGAACCTTTCCTAACCTTTCTCTGTACAGATCTTCCTGGACCCCTTCTTGTTTCTGGTGGACCCTGTTAGATGAACATGAGTGGATTCCAGTGTTGAGTGGGTTTGAGTGAGTCACAGACTGTGTGAAGAGGAGTGTGGACATGTTACCCTTACCCCGGATCCCCCACCCCCACAGGCCCCGATCCTTCATCACTGTATATATTACTGCTAAATATTCCATCAGAACATTTGATAAAATGTGTTATTTATTTAGAAAACCTTATTTTAAACTGTATCAAAGGAAAATTAGACTTGACAAGTCTTAAAGCTTCAAAGAAACGAAGAAGAGACAAAAAGTTTCAGACTCTTTGTCGTATTTGTGAGGTGTTTATTTTGGAGCATAATATATATAGCACAAAGCATCCACGAGACATTACACAATCAAAGGGCGTGACTGTTCAGTGGATTATTTCAGGCTTATAATCGCTTGAAAGATAAACTTTGGACCACATGTAAAAGAACTGTCATTATAAAAACTCAAGTTTGCATGCGTTTTATATGATATTATCTGACAAAGCAGAGCAATGTGTAAGGATGAGCAGGCAGCTGGTTCAGAAAGAGCTCTGGTCCAGTCTTTTCATGATGCGTTGGGTCCAGGAGGCAGACGCATCCACACACACTGAACGAGACTTTTTGGTAATGAAGCTGAAACAAAGAGGTGGAAATTCAGAAATCTGAATTTTAAATAAGCTTCAAAATTCTCTCAGTAAATATGTTGTAAAAATAACAATAATAATAATAATAATAATAATAATAATGTATACTTTATTTATCCCAGTAGGGAAATTACTCTCTGCATTTAACCCATTCACTCTAGTGAAGCAGTGGGCAGCCACCAATCAGGCGCCCGGGGAGCAGTGTGAAGAGACGTTACCTTGCTCAGAGGTACCTCAGGGTAGCCGTTCAGTGGTTTCGAATGCCCGAATATGTACTTTTTTTTTTAAATGACCAGTAGACAAAATGTCATAATATAAACACTTAAATGTGTATTTCAAACAATTTACAAGCAAAGTAGCCAAACATCCACGTAAAATTGATCAAATTATAAAAACAAGTTTGTGCATTTTTCTTGAACATTTACAGGATAAAATTAAAAGACAATAGTAGGAGAACAAATACAAGTTCAAATAAAAAGTATCAAACTCATACTATGTCCTGAGCATCATGTGTAAAATGACAATTTTTAATTGTCCAGAAACTCTGCAGTTACAATGATCATACTGCATAATTTTCATTACAGTAATTTCAGTATTTGTGTTAAACATTATGAAGACAAAATAAACCCAGTTTTCTTCACTTACATGATGGCAGACTTTGGGCATCGGTGATCAGTCAGTCGATACGACTTGATGAGGTTTGCTTGAATTCTTCCCGGGTACAACTTGAAACAGCAGTTGTCGGGACCATTTGCATCTGAGAAAAAGACGTTTCATTACACTTACTCAAAAACCAAAACCTCTCTTTTAATGATGACATTGAAAGTAATCTTACTGTTGCAGTTAACTGCAGACAACAAAGCAGCTCCAAGGATGCACAGCAAAAGGAACTGAGTGGTTTTCATTATGATTCCTCAGGAGTTGATGATGATGATGACGATAAAGACAACAGCTGCTCTTCAGACGCAAGCAAGGGCTTCTAAATATTAGGTGGTGTGCTGTTACATTTATCAAGATCAATACTTTTTTTTAAAGGTACATAGGGTGTCATTGGTGTGAAAGAGGGAGGGTGGATGTGGTTTCAAAAATTGCTGAAAATGCCTCTGACAGAACTTTCCATTCGGTTACATTGACAGGAAATGAAGCTGCGGTTTAGCCCAGCGATGCAGCTCAAAGCATGACACTGTTAACAAAACCAACTTCTACACCCCCCTCGCCCAAAAGTTTAAAAAAAAATATGTCACAAAATATTATGACCACAAAAAAAACGCTAAAACAATCGTTGAGCAGTCCATATGACTCCATGAGTTTTGCTTTAATTCTTCTTGGTACAACTTTCAGCAGCAGTTGTTGGGACTATTTCCATCTGAGTAAAGAGGATTAAGATCAAACTGTTTAGAAAGTATAACAATAAAAAAAATATCGATGACCACCAGAGCTAGTCCTCCTTGTAGATAATCAAATGGTATAAATTTCTAAATTCACCGCGCCTTGTTCTCAAATTATTGCATTCCCAAGACTTACGATTCAATTCAATTTTATTTATATAGCGCCAAATCACAACAAAAATCGCCTCAAGCTGCTTTATATTGTACAGTAGATACAGAGAAAAACCCAACAATCATATGACCCCCTATGAGCAAGCACTTTGGCGACAGTGGGAAGGAAAAACTCCCTTTTAACAGGAAGAAACCTCCAGCAGAACCAGGCTCAGGGAGGGGCGGGGCCATCTGCTGCGACCGGTTGGGGTGAGAGAAGGAAGACAGGATAAAAGACATGCTGTGGAAGAGAGCCAGAGATTAATAACAGATATGATTCAATGCAGAGAGGTCTATTAACACATAGTGAGCGAGAAAGGTGACTGGAAAGGAAAAACTCAATGCATCATGGGAATCACCCAGCAGCCTACGTCTATTGCAGCATAACTAAGGGAGGATTCAGGGTCACCTGGTCCAGCCCTAACTATATGCTTTAGCAAAAAGGAAAGTTTTAAGCCTAATCTTGAAAGTAGAGATAGTGTCTGTCTCCTGAATCCAAACTGGAAGCTGGTTCCACAGAAGAGGGGCCTGAAAACTGAAGGCTCTCCCTCCCATTCTACTTTTAAATACTCTAGGAACAACAAGTAGGCCTGCAGAGCGAGAGCGAAGTGCTCTAATAGGGTGATATGGTACTACAAGGTCATTAAGATAAGATGGGGCCTGATTATTTAAGACCTTGTATGTGAGGAGCAGGATTTTGAATTCAATTCTGGATTTAACAGGAAGCCAATGAAGGGAAGCCAAAACAGGAGAAATATGCTCTCTCTTTCTAGTCCCTGTCAGGACTCTTGCTGCAGCATTTTGGATTAGCTGAAGGCTTTTCAGTGAGTTTTTACAGACATCCTGATAATAATGAATTACAGTAGTCCAGCCTGGAAGTAATAAATACATGAACTAGTTTTTCAGCGTCACTCTGAGACAGGATATTTCTAAGTTTAGAGATGTTGCGGAAATGGAAGAATGCAGTCTTACATATTTGTTTAATATGTGCTTTGAAGGACATGTCCTGGTCAAAAATGACTCCAAGGTTCCTCACAGCGTTACTGGAGGCCAAGGTAATGCCATCCAGAGTAAGAATCTGGTTAGATACCATATTTCTAAGCTTTTCAGGGCCGAGTACAATAACCTCAGTTTTATCTGAATTAAGAAGCAGAAAGTTAGCGGCCATCCAGGTCTTTATGTCTTTAAGACATTCCTGCAGTTTAACTAATTGGTGTGCGTTATCTGGCTTCATGGAGCTGGGTGTCATCTGCATGGCAGTGAAAATGTATGCTATATCTTTTAATGATGCTGCCTAGGGGGTGCATGTATAGTGTAAACGGAATTGGTCCTAGCACTGAACCTGTGGAACTCCATAATTAACCTCAGTGTGTGAAGAGGACTCTCCATTTACATGTACAAATTGGAGTCTATTAGATAGATATGATACAAACCACTGCAGTGCAGTACCTGTAATACCTACAGCATGTTCTAATCGCTCTAATAGGATATTATGGTCGACAGTATCGGATGCTGCACTAAGGTCTAGCAGGACAAGCACAGAGATGAGTCCACACTCAGAGGCCATAAGAAGATCATTTGTAACCTTCACTAAAGCTGTTTCTGTGCTGTGATGAGCTCTGAAACCTGACTGAAACTCTTCAAATAAGCCATTCCTCTGCAGATGATCTGTTAGCTGTTTGACAGCTACTCTTTCAAGGATGTTTGATATGAAAGGAACGTTGGAGATTGGCCTATAATTAGCTAAGACTGCTGGGTCTAGAGATGCTTTTTGAGTAAAGGTTTAACTACAGCCAGCTTGAAGGCCTGTAGTACATAGCCGATCATTAGAGATAGGTTGATCATATTTAAGACTGAAGCATTAATTAATGGCAGGACTTCTTTGAGCAGTTTTGTAGGAATGGGGTCTAAAAGACACGTTGATGGTTTGGAGGAAGTAATTATTGAAGTTAACTAAGAAAGATCAATTGGAGAAAAAGAGTCTAAATTAACATCAATGGTACTAACAGTAGCTGTATATAATATTACATCTGTGGGATGATTATTGGTAATTTTTCCTGTAATGATAAAAATTTTATTTGTGAAGAAGTTCATGAAGTCATTACTAGTTAATGTTAAAGGGATGGTTGGCTCAACAGTACTCTGACTTTATGTCAGAGCTACAGTGCTGAAGAGAAACCTGGGGTTGTTCTTATTTTACAGAAAACCTGACCTCTGACCTTGAGATCACCTTGACTTGAGAAGGTCACAGGACTCAGACTTATACATTATTTTAAGTAGCTGCACCTGCACAACTTTCAGAATCCTACACAAGTTATCTGATTCACAAACTTGGGTGTTGATGCTGCCCGCCCGTCTGGCAGCGTAGCCCCAAAATGATGAGGAAGATAAGGAACATTTCTTTGAATTAAAATTTTTCTAAAGTGTTATATTTTATAGGGAAATTGGTGAATTTAACATGGAAAAAGGTCTTTATTTGCATAGTTTTCAGCTTAGAAATCTGAACTTTGAGGCACCAGACAAAGAGCGATTCAGAAGACCCCTATGAGCAGAACACCAAGGGAACAGTTCACCCTGCCCGGGATAGGGTCACTGGGGCCCTGCCCTGGAGCCAGGCCTGGGGAGGGTGCCTGCGGGCGAGCGTCTGGTGGCCATGTCTTAGTCCATTGGGCCCGTCCGGTCACAGCCCAAAAAGTGACATGGGCCCATCATCCTGTAGACCAACCAACCCCACGGCTTGGGCTCTGGAACCAGTCCCCTGGAGAGGGCTTGGACTCTGTCTCAGTCGAGTTGTCCCTGGTAAGAGGCGGGCTGTAGTGGGTATCCTAGTTTCCCCTCAGCTTGCTGCCTGTACGTGGTGAAGAGAGAGCTGAGTGTAAAAGCAAAGCGTTCAATTTACCAGTTGATCTACGTCCCTACCCTCACCTTTGAGATGTGGGTAGGGACTAAATCCTTGGCTCCTCTGTGAGGTGTACCGGGCACGTCCCACCAGAGGGAGGCCCCGGGAGAGACCAAGACCACTTTTCAGACTAAGGAGAGAATAAGAATTAATTTCTTTCAGGTTCCAATGTAAAATAAGTAATCTATATAATATATCAGGCATTACCCCTTTTTGCTTCTGTTTTGTTAAAGAAAATGCTGAAATAGGAAAGAAATGATCAGACTATCAGAAAAGAAGGAGCATGTGCCTCTGTCTGCTATCATCTGGCCAAACCATGGTCACACTGCCACCTGCTGGGACAAAGATGTTACGACAGCTACAGGATTGTTAAGAAAATAGATAGGCCTATTTAGTTGAAATTAATTATTTTAGGGCATTTTCAAATGAAAGTATTTCAATATGTAGTAAAATGATGTATAAATTATTTTTTTAAAGTATAAATTATTTCACACAAACTTGATCACATATGAAAGTCAAATCTCCAAAAACCGGTGAACCCCAAATCAACTGTGTAGTATATTCATTTCTTAATTTTTCAGCACTAACCCATAATATTTTAGAAGGACATGGTTTCTTTATATATATTCTAATCTTAAGCACTTAAAGTGTTCATGACACATTCATTCAATGCTTCAAACATGGGGGCTAGGTGGCGTGTACTGTCTTACCCACGGGCACTTTATCATGCAGAATGGAGGAACCTGGGACTGATCCACTGATTTTCTGAATATTGGATACGTGCCCCTCTTTCAGAGCCATAAACATTACAGGGTGTATAACCCACTTAATAAATAATTAAATAATAATAATAATTTTCTTAGCAACATATTCAGTCATGGTTGTAGGTGCACCCAGGAGAGCACGCCATGTCATCACAGAGCCTCGGTTTATTTTAACATAAATGTAGCAATTTCAAGTTTGACCTGATGATGGCAGTGGTTTTTCACACCTACACTGCCAAAAGCCAGTCAGTTAGACAGAAGTGTGTGTGTGTGTGTGTGTGTGTGTGTGTGTGTGTGTGTGTTTGCCTTATTTTCACACTTACTGTAAAATTTGGTAGAGAACGACTCTGTTTACCTGATCATAGGCTCTGAAAATGGATTTGTATAAAAACTCTGTCATTCCAATATTTTTCTCAGCTCCACTAAAACAAGATGAAAGTCTGCACTATAATCACATCTTAGCAAACATCTGGACAAAAAGGAACGAGGATGAAAAGATAATGTTCTTGCAATGGTCAACACACAGTACTGTGAAAAAGCCTTAAGCCAGCCTAAAAGTCTTTATTCCCTTATTTCCTAGGACTCAAAGTTTTAGTCCAGCCTTTGACCTTTGTGAGGAGTTGTGCTTTCTGAGTGCTCTTGTTAGTGTTATTGACCTACAGCTCTCCAGGCTTTCTGAAGGTCTTTCAGAATTTATCTTTGGCTGCTTTTTCACTTACTTCAGTCCAGTCCTTGTGCCTGAGCATTTTCTTGTTTGTTAAATCACCTAACACCTAACTCTGTATCATTTAAGCATTAAAAATGTGCTTAACTCAAAGGATGAATCCTCACTGTGGAGGACAAAAGAAAATTCCAGATTACATAAGAAGTGGGTCACATCATTTCATATATCAGTGTGGAGGATGTCAGGAGAGAGGTGCAGCGTCTACAGACATCCGTGAAACACAGTGGAGCCTTGATTGAGGCTTAATTCTAGCCAGTGCTGTTGGAATCTTGTCAAAATTGATGGCATTATCAGTGCAGAATACCATGTGATGCATCATGCAATAACATCTGGGGTGGTTCCATAGTGTAGTGGTTTATAAATTTACCAAAAGAGCAAAATATTGCTGGTTCAATCCCTTAAGGAGTCACGAATCCCTTTATGGCCATGTCAGGAAGATCTGGTGCAAAAGCTTGCCAAGTCTAATATGCACCACCTGTTGTGGTAACCCCTTGTGAATAAGGGAGTAATTGAATTTAGCTCCCACTATGCAATACCTAGGAAGTGTTTAATCGGCAAGTACTTCAATTTTGAGCAGAGCAATGATCCCAGACACACTGCCAATGCAGCAAACATACACCTGGATAAAAATGTAGTCATGCATCGGCCTCCCCAGCGACCAGATCCAAGTCTGGGATCATTCTGAGATAATCTTGACACGGAAATAAAAGGTAGCCAATATCCAAAGAAGGGCTTCAGAATGTCCTTTAAGAATTCTTGAGAGTCGTTTCCAAAAAATACTTAAATATATTACCAAATAAATTGCCTAAGAGGGTTCAGGTTGTTGAAGAACAATGATGATCATCTTAAATATTGACTTCAAAGGTGAAGAGAAGTGTACAAACTAGAATTTTATTTAAATGTATGTTTGCACATTTTCATCGTTGCACTTTTTTTTCTCATTTTTGTGGCAAAGTATACAGAAACAAAGGTTGGCTCAAGACTTTTGGACGTTATTGTAAATCCAGTTAATGGCTGCAAGAGAAATTAGGAACAGAAGAGGAAAGAATTGTATGGATGTATTTTGACCTCTGATGAATGTTCTAATCTTCGGCCATAACATAATTTAGCAATTTGCAACACCAAGCACAAGACTGTGCCTAATTACTCTGCTGGTTAATTTGTGTTAAAAAAAAAACCTAAAACAAAAACAAAAACAACTTTTTCTTTTAGATAATGGATGCTACATTGTTTTCTGTATGTCCATGGAAATATTTATACTGATATAAAAGAAAAAGAAATCTATTGTACAAGAGTTATAGGTCTAACACAGAGTGCTGGGCCATTTCCTTTAATATAACTTCTCTAATATCTCTGACAAACTACATAAAGACTCAAAACAGAACTCACAGAAGGAAGTAGTTGTTCTTTGTTTGGGTGTTTTTGTTGTTGTTCTTTACTTAAAGTGAGAGTTACTTGATATGTTGGCAGTAGCGAGTTCATAAACAGACAAGCATTCAATAAAGCTCAACAAGTTCAGAGACCAGCAGACAGAGTAGCATTAACTAAGGTGTCCTCTAGCCAGTAGCTCAGGAAGTCTGTCCCAGCTGACAGTGGGCAACAGCAGAGGTGAAGTCTGGACAGGAAACCAGTTAATCATTAGCAATTTGTAAAAGCAGTGGTAGTTAAGAAGAAAAAGACAGAACTGGGCCAGAAAATTATTATTATTAAAGAGTCAAATATTTATTTTTAATTCCAAATGAAATTCCAATGATAGCTCAACCATAAGATTCTTAGTTGGTGCATCGAGGGAAAGCCAAACATTTACATACAGCTACAAATCAGTTGCATATATAACTCATAGATTGTGTTTAAATTAATTGGGTTTTTTTTTTTTTGCCTGTCCCATTTGGTTCTTTAGCCATCAGAATTGTTGTCTGAAGACCAACAAGGATACCCAATGGATTTACTTTGCCAAATGGATCATCGTGGCATTGCCGTATTGGTCCATTTGGTCGATCTTTGTTTTTATTATTTATTATATTTTATTTTCAGATGTTACAGACGGGACAGACATGAGTGAGGGATAGGAAAGGGAGAAAGAAAGAGGAAGGAAAGGGAAAACAGAAGGGGAGAGGGACAGTGAGAAAGGGGGGGAGAAAAAAAAGTAAAAATCTCCTGGATCACCTGTTGAGAGAAAAATAGAAAACAAGCAAAAAAAACAAAGCAACATACTAAACACAACACCATCGCATTAATCTAGCTAAGTGTAAACAGCAGTAAATACTAAATATTCAATGTTGTTGTGCAGCACGCAGGACAGATGTGCTTCGACGTAGCGGCCAAGAAAGGTGTAATTTGGGTCTACGAGCAGTGAACACCCGTGTGCATACCTGTGTGGATCAGCGCGCTTGTATTCCAAAGGTTTCTCCATGTAACGATCTGCTAGGGAGTGTGGGGGGGCCACAGCCCCGTCCTCCAGGGTGTGAAGCGGGTATGGAGGAGATCAAAACTCCAGACATCCAGAGGCCCCCAGAACACAAGAGACCAAGGAAGACCAACAGAGGAGCAGCCGCGCCACTGTTCCAGTAAGAGCTGAGGAGAGTCCCAGATGAGGGTTCACTCAGCAGCCGCGGAGCAGAAGCCAGGGGGAGTTGCAGTGACGCGCCCATGAGCTCCGCCGGCCCCCAGCTGTGCCTGAGTGACCGAGCCCCAGGCCGAGAGGCCGGGGGCACCCCACCTCCGAAGGGGTGTTTAAATTAATTAATTGTACTTTCAGAATCGACCAAATTATATGTTATTTGTTTTAAAAGTGTTATTTCACACAGTATGTAAGGAACACTTGGCAACCCGTAAAGCTTAGAAGACATGAAGAAGAGACAAGAAAAAGTTTCACACGCTTGTATTTTTGTGGTGTTTATTTTGGAGGATAACACATAACACAAAGCAAAGAGACATTACACAATCAAAGGACTTTTCAGTGGATTGCTTCAGGCTAATAACTAGCTTTGGATCAGTTGAGACAAAGTTGCACTAATTACAAAAATCATAAAGCCACATTGGATATGATATTTGCAGATAAAGCAGAACAAAATGAAATGATGAGCAGGCAGCTGGTTTAAAAAGTGCTCTCGTCCAGCGTTTTCATGATGCTATCGACCCAGGAGAGAGACGGATCCATACAGACTGAACGAGCCTTTTTGGTAATGAAGCTGAAACAAAGAGGCGGAAATGCTGCTGTTATTGTGTGTTGTTGTTTTTTTAAACAAAAAAGCAAAAATAACTAATAGCTACAAAGAAACACGGCTACAGGATAATGTTAGGAGACAAAACTAAAAGAACAAATATGAGTTCAAATAAAAAGTAAACGTAGAAGATGTCCTGTGTGAAATGAAAAAAAAAATGAAAATGTCCAAAAACTGTCCAGTTACAATGGTCATACTGGATATTTTTCATTACAGTAATTTCAGTTATTGTGTTAAACATGAAAACAAAATAAACCCAGATTTCTTCACTTACATGGCGGCAGGCTTTGGGCATCGGTGATCAGTCATGTAATACGACTCCACGAGGTTTGCTCTAATTCTTCTTGGGTAAAACTTGAAGCAGCAGTTGTCGGGGCCATTTCCAGCTGAGGAAAAAGCATTAGAACATGTTTCATTAGACTTACTCAAAAAACCTCTCTAATAATGATGACATTAAAGGTAATCTTACTAGTGCAGTTAACTGCAGACAACAAAGCAGCTCCAAGGATGCACAGCAAAAGGATGTGAGTGGTCTTCATTATGATTCCTCAGGAGTTGATGATGATGAAGAAGATTAAGACAACAGCTGTTCTTGAGACGCAAGCAAGGGCTTCTAAATAATAGGTGGTGTGCTGTTACATTTATCAAGATCAATATTTTGAAAAAAAAAAGGTGCATATGGTGTCATTGGTGTGAAAGAGGGAGGGTGGTTGTGGTTTCAAAAGGTGCTGAAAATGCCTCTGACAGAACTTTCCACTCGGCTACATTGAGAGGAAATGAAGCTGTGGTTTAGCCCAGAGCTGCAGCTCAAAGCATGACACTGTTAACAAAACCAACTTCTACAGCCCCCCCAAAAGTTTTAAAAAATATATGTCACAAAATATAATGACCACAAAAACACTAGAAAAACAATGCCCCCGAACATCACTGTTGGCTATTTCTAATGTAATGAGACTGTGCTGGCCAGAGTAACATTTCAAAATCAACAAATCTATTTGAACAATGTGTGTTATCATTTTTTTCGTGCTACATATAGTCATGTGCTGTACCACAACAGTCCTTGCGATTGCTATGGTTGCGGGTTGCTGCAGTCATCTGTTGTTTTCATGAAAGACACAACTTAACCAACTTAACTGTTAAACTTACTTAACTGTCTTAACAACTGAGCACTATTAAAACTTGAAAGTGTGACACAAACCAGAATGTTAACATTCACACTATATGTTGTGCTTCAGCAATGCAGCCAGTACTTTTCAAAAGATGCGTTTTTTACTTTGCAAAGCGATCGAGGATTTTGCTAACCAGTTGGGAAATACACATTTATTCCTGAGTATTCTCCGGCTTTAACAAGCACTTAAACAGTGATTGCCATCAGCCTCAACTAACCACCAGCCAACTGGTTGGGAAATATTCTTTTTTTTGTGTGTGTTGCCAAAAGGTGATCAATCTCTAGACCTGTTCATACGATTTGTCAAATCATTTAAACGTCACGTGGTCAGCGTGTGGTCATATGACCCTATCATGGTCATAGTGTTTATAGGAAAATGGCCGCAGATCTGATCTTAACAAGAACCTTTTTGATTCACGCATTTTTGTTTTTGTTTTGGTTGTTGTTTTGTTTTTGTTTTATATATATATATCAGCTGTAAAACAAATCAGTGATTGTTTGTAGCAGCTGCACATGTTACTTAGAAATAGTCATGAAATATTCACATAGAAACAAAGATAGCTAACAAAACAATGCCATGGGGTTTAAATTATATACTTATATATGTTGGAGAATTAAGCTGAAGAAGTAGATACAGATTTTAGATGAAGACAAAACTTCACTCTCTGCTCATATGAGGATCAGATCTGTGATTAAAGGCTTTTGTGGACTCCAGGAGATTTTTACATTTAAAACTGGGCCACTGTTGTCTGACGTAGGTCTGCTTCAGAGAACCCCATTTGATATTTATGTAATACGTTCACTAATCAGTGGTTTATCACCACTCATCGAGAATCAAAGCAAAAGTGCGGATCACTCAATACTAACATATAGATTTTATCTCAGGTAAAAGTGTGGCAACCTTTTCACAAGAAAGTGTAAATACACCACAACGCATTGCTGCAGCAATGACTGTTGCACTAACCACATAAGCCATCGTGTTCTCACTCCGGTTAGGCTCAAAGGCACTCTGGGAAATTCACTTCCACCTGTTGATCTATACAAGGCAGGAGGAGAGTTGTAATCCAGTAAGAAACAAACTAGCTCCTGGTTGAATATGTACATCTTTTTATTATAATAAAACCATCATTTATATACATTTCAAGTGAGAAACAGTTGCGCGGTGACCTTCTGCTGTCTCCATGTATATCTATCAGTCCTCTACAGTACACAGGTCTCTTGGAAAAAAAGGAATACAAGTCAGACAATGCAAAACGACTGAGAACACCCAGCAAATCAACATGATTATCAAGCAATGGTACATCATCTAAAATATCTTTCAACCCAATTTAGTTTGAATCTTTTTGACCACAAAGGATCAAACGGTAGTGTTGACAGGTAGAGCTGATACCCAGGCCAGCTTTAAATGTAACAATTAATTGGTAACTAACAGGTCTAATTGTGAAGATACCACTTAACCACACAAACAAGACATACACATACAGACACACACTACAGTTTGCAAACAGCTACCTAAAAAAGGTGGAGAAATAACACGAAAATCAACAACCCGTTTTTAACCACGAGACGATCAGAGGCACAACTCAAAGGCTTGCACGTATGGCTTGCAAAAAGCTTTAGCTGCAGTCCTGCAGTGTTTCACCACAGTGGGGGAGGGGGTGCATTTAGAAGAATGATCAGACATAGTATTGCACGGTGCTGAGTCAAAAACACAGCAGGCGCCCTTTCAGCGGCCATGTGGCTGAGACGATGATGAATTACAAAACGAAAGGAGTCTTCCTGTTTTTAAAGCCCAGACTGAACGTTCTACTTCAGCTAATGTCCAGGGATTTAAGAAAGCACAGCCTCAGCTAAGGGTTAAGAGATTGAGTTCACTAATATAACAGGAAAGACCGACTGGAACTCCATCACACACAAATTCAGCAGCACAACACAGCACGTGAAGCAGTTTCACAAGGAACGACGAGACATTTCCTCATACATCGGCCTTTCATTCCTCTGATGACGCTTGTGCACAATGGGCTTTCAAAGTCATCACTGTCACAAAACAAAGATCAGATCAGGAAATGCAGTGTGTTGACTTTGCACAGTGTATCCAATCAACGTAGCATTGGCTCCGCCCACTACTGGTGAGGATGGAGTGACACAATAACCACAGTGTGAATGCAGTGTCAAGGCCTCAACTTAGTGACAACCTCAACTTTAAGCAGCCACAATACCCTGACACACGCAGCAGTTAGCAGATCTAGGCCAGATCTCTCTCCACTATGCCACTGTGACACAAAAGACAACACAATCTGTGTCATCTCATGATGAAAAACTAAAAGTAGAGATTTGCAGGCTGTGTAACGCTCAATATCCAACAATCCGCTTCCTTCTTCCAACTTTGTGTAGGGCTCTAACTAAATATTGCTTCTATTATCAAATAATCAGATCTGCTACCCTAATAAAAACTCTATAAAACAACCAATTTAAAGCCCCCACAAAACAAAAAAGCAGCAAATCTTTAAACCAAAGTAAGAAATCTCTGTTATACTGCACTTTGCTCCAGAGTGGAGGATTTAAAACTGAGGGGCACCACAACATGACGGGTAAGATGGTTACAGTGATGCTGCAGGCTAGTAATCTGACCAACAGTCAATAACTACAGCTGCAACAGTGACGTTTACACACACAGCTAATGCAAGTAATTAAAGGCCATCTATGCAGGATTTTAAACTTTAGGAATCTCTCTGATCAACCACTTACGACCCACCGTATGTTGCGGTGTAGCTATTTAAACTTTATGCCCAAACCATTCATCCTTAATTTGTCACATAAATTACCTGGAACCAAACCTGGGTTGTCCCGCTCTTTCACGAAAAGCCAAATTTGTACCTCGAGATGGTGCAGCGAGTCCACCAGGCACGTCACTAAGAATGTACAATGACAGCCGGGTGGAAAAGCCCAGCCACTTGATTTAAAAAAGTGAAGGTTTTGGTTAAATTTCACAGATGGCAATTGAAAAAAATACTTTTAAGCCAAGGACGACAGACCCACGATGCAAACAGCAACAACAAAACTCCTGCATAGCGAGCCTTGAAAGTAAAAACCATCAACAGCTGACTGCACACTCCTCAGAGTCTCCACATCTTAATGCTTCAAAGTTAATTTCATTGGCCAGTGTGGTTAGTACTTTTAGATTGCTCCCTGGAAATCCTGCTTTGACCACACGCGCCGTGCACAGACCTCAAACCTGTGCATAGAGCAAAGATTAATTCAGCTTCAAACTGACCCAAATTTCTGTGGTTTGGATGGTTGGCGAAGCATGAGACTGTCAAAATGGAAGTTGTACTATATTCTGCTCTGATCTTGCACCGCTCAGAGCACACTGAATACACAAGTGTCTTCCGCCAAAACAAACACAATCATCAGCTTTTTAGCTTTAAATAGATCCTATCACAGATGTTTGTGGACACGTAGAAACAGCCTTCTAGCTCTACAGTTTTTTTAAATAAACTGGACTAGTACCTCACTAAGCCTGAGAACTCAGGGTCAAGACTCTGAAGCGCTCTGCTGCCAGGAATGACTAAAAAACATGCAATCAGGGCAACTGCCGGTGGGGACAGTGTACCAGGATGGATGCAAAGTCAAATAACTACAGTGGAAAGTTCTGAACCATTCAGAGTATTTGAACTTTGTCGTTATCAGTGAAGTGATTGCTATTGTCCAAAAAGATGGTTTTTTTCATCTTTCATATTCACGCAAATTATGCAGCCAAATGCGTGCAAAGCCCCTCAAGTTACAGCCTGCAATCTAGAATGTGTTTAAAAAGAGATTAAAAGTGCTCCAAATGTGCAGACAGAAGCTCAACGACAACCCTTCATTTGTCTGGACCAAATCCATCCTTTTCTTAAATATACTAAATAAATGAACAAAAGACTTCACACTCACACCAACACATCTGAAATCATAACAAAAACAAGCTAATTAATTAATGCAAATTAATGTACCACAAATATATTAAATACAGGGGAAATCCACATCTAACACTTTACCTCATTTATTCCAGTCTCGCTGACACAGGCAGCTTCTGACCTCTTCTAATGAACTAAAACTGTAACGCGGTGCTCTCAAACACACCACATTTTCTTATGTGCATTTGTGTCATACCTTCATGGATTATAACCTACAAAACTCCCCCTGTTCAGAAGAGTTGTCTTCATGGAACAGCTAAGGTGACAATTTGGCCCTGATTACAAGCCAATGAAAAGCAAACTCAGAACAAAAGGAAATAAAAACATGGAGGACACAAAGGAATGTGAGAAAAATTAACTTGAGTGGAAAAAAGGTGCCGCTACGCAGAAGGAGACGCACAGAGACAGCTAGGAACCCCCTCACATATTTATGTCGTTTACAGATTTGACTACGGAGATGAACATTGCTGTAGACACATTTAAGCTTCATTTGCCGAATCAAACAGAAAGGATCTGAGAGCTGGCAGCAGTGAAGGAGTTGATGTAGTATCTGGTATCTCTGTGGTTTCCTTCAGTCTCTGGGGAACTGAGTCAGTCGGGTAGGTTCATATATGTGGGAGTGTGTGTTACATTCTTCAGCCTTTCCCAGCTACAAGTTTCCAGTTTGCTGCTGGGCCTCTGAGCAGAGGAGGGGTGCTGGAAGTTAAATAAGGCCTCATATTCCTTTTTCACACCCCTGCTCAGTCACTGAGACCCCCTCCAGTGTTCTGGTTCCAGTCGGAGGAGTGGCATGCCTCTGGAGAAGAGCTTTATCACTGCAGCCTCAACTGGACGTGTCCCCAACCTGACAGAAGATCTCTCTCAGGTCCATCAGCTTGGGCAAGAGTGTAGGCTTTTCCAAAGGCTGGAGGGGGTCTGATTGAGTACTTTAGCTTGAGCTGGTTATGTTCTGATCTCAGCTCAACGCTTCAGCACCGGGCAACCTCGCTCCCGATCTCTTCTGCTCCGTCAGCGCCTGCAAGACCTGAGGGGAAGAAGCAGGAGTGAAAAAAAGGTTTTCAAAACAAAGATGCAGTGATGGGGGTAAACAATGTTTTCAGACACAGTATCTAGAAAAAAAATCCCACCTGTGCCCACTTCCTGTTGCGGCTGGTCATGTGAATAGCAGCAATGTGCTGGAAGAGCTGGTCGGCAGGGATGAGGTCAGGCAGGCGGGTGAGGAACTGAGCCATGTGGATGAAGTCCATGCTGGTCAGGACATCCTGGTAGAGGCGAAGCAATCCCAGAGCCGTGCGGAACAGGAACTCTTCACCATCTCTGCAGAACACATCCCACACTCGACACGCCAGGTCCAACGGCAGCGACTTGCTATACAGAGTGAAGATCCTGAAGGGACAAATAGATGGGAAGGAAAAGTTATTATCAGCTAGCACTATATAAAACAAAGTCACTAATAGCAACAGAAATTTGAAATGACCTTTGTTAACATATTAAAGAAACACATGTACTGAGTTACAGTTTCTTTGCTGAAATCTGACTTCATGTACCAACTTCTAAGATCTACCCTCACATCCTGATAGATAAACAAAGGAAAGATACAGTATAGAGTAAAAACTACTCATCCGTCTCCCTTCAAACGCATATGAACTTCTTAAGTGACATCCCATTTTTATTCCATAAGGTTTAATTTGATGTCTAAACCTTAGCAGCTTTAACAGATTCAAATCTTCTTTTACATAAAGTTTAGGAAAGCATTTATTTTTGTCCATTCTTGCAGAGGTGCACTGGGACATCCCCAAACTGTTCCCACAAAGTTGGGAGCATGAAATTATCCAAAATGTCTTGGTATCCTGAAACATGAAGAGTTCCTTTCACTGGAACAAAGGGGGCAGTCCCAACTTGTGTAAAACAACCCCACACCAAACTTTACACTTGACATATAGTGCAGTAACACAAGTACCGTTCTCCTGGGAACCACCAAACCCAGACTCATCATTTGGATTGCCAGACAGAACGTGATTGGTCACTCCAGAGAACACACTGCTCCAGTGGCAGTGTGCTTTACACTAGAGATGGCACGATACCACTTTTTTATGTCCGATACCGATATCATAAATTTGGATATCTGCCGATACAGATATGAATCCGATAGTTTTATTGATTAAAAAACACTGTTTTTTAAATATCTTGCTGTATTTTGTATAAGTTCATACTCAAGTTTAAAACAACAACTACACTAAAGCTATTCTGTTATACCTGTATGCAAAAAAAAAAAAGTTTCATAGTTCAGCAATACTGATCAATCTAATAAACTTAAACCTACACCATCCTCCCTATTCTGGTATTTTAAAGAGTACTTAGCGTAAATATTAAGCAACCTAACTAATAGGGTTCCAACTCCCAGCAACAACAAAAATAAATAAATAAAAAATAGGGAACCACCCCTCACGCTCCACCTCATGATGCTTAATCAACGTAATCAACCTTAATTTGACGCAGTGTGAAAAAAAATGCACAGAAATCAATTATTTTTCAAGAAATATTAAATAGATTCAACATCTTTCTTCAACAAAATTGCAGACTGTACAGATGGTACCTTCCCAAAGGAAAAAGTACTATAGCTTACTAGGGTATATTAGACTTAATAGTCACTATATACAGTAATTGACTTCTATTCATTTTGCATCAAATTAAAACTTTGGCTGTCAGATAATTATTTATTAAAAGCTCGAAATTTTAAATGAGAATAAGAAAGAAAAGTATGTCTTTGTGCCCCCTTTTCCCTGTTAATGCCCTATCGGCCCCCCTGGCTAAACTTTGCTAGATCCGCCCCTGCACAGTTACCAGCCGTCAGCTACGTAGAAAAAGATCCTCGAGTAGAAAGTAATATTAAATAAATTCTAACAACAGCTGATCAAGCTTAAACGTGCTGCTGTTGTTCAGCTGCTGGTTTCCTCTTTCTGGTGCAAAGTGGGCGATAAACAAACAAGAGAGACGGACTCGCAACAGAAAAGCCGATCAGCTGATCATTAAGCAGTTTCATGATTGAAGTAGCAGCAGGAGAGGCAGTCACTCCATATATCGTTTGGTAAGCTTAACGCAGGAATGCTTTACAAACATTCAGAGATAGACTTACACACTTGCTTTACTTCTCTCGGGGATAACTTTGTCGGAGATGAAATGCCGGGTTGCTAGCGAAGCTCCACATGCTATCCAGACCACCGACAGGTCCCGCATGCCACAGCCGCTCTATCACGTGATGCATACTGCTCCGACGTGCTAACGTTCTGAGGTGAGTTACGGCGTGTTGCAAGTTTTGTGAGGTGCTTTTGTGATATTTAATGGATCGGATTACATTTTTTATTTTTCTCCGATATCCGATCCAGTAATTTAGGTCAGTATCGGACCGATACCGATACGTAATATCGGATCGGTCCATCTCTACTTTACACCACTGCATCCCACGCTTTGCACTGTGCCTGGTGATGTAAGGATTCAGCTGCTGAGCCATGGAAACCCAGTCCATGAAGCTGAAGTTGTTCACGTTTGTACCGCAGCATCCACTGTGATTTTACAAGGCCTACCACTTCTGTCAGTTCCCAGTTGCTTTGTTATAATTCCACTAACAGCTGACTGGAATATGTAGTAGTGAGGAAATGTCTGGACTGGTAGCACAGGTGCATCCTAGCTTGAATTCACTGAGTTCCTGAGAGCGACCCATCCTTTCACAAATATTTGCAGAATTACTCCGCATGCAAATAAAAAAACAAAAACACTTTTTAAAAGAAAAAAGGCTCCTTTCTACGTTGTTACAAGCTTCAAGAGATTTAGAAGCGAGCTGACTACCACCTGCTCTTAATAAAACTAAAAGGCTGTTTTAGGTGTAATTACAAACAAACAAAAAACACAATAATTCACAATATTAAAGTCAGAAGTCTGTGAATAAAAATAAATGATTGATATTATTGCCCTAGTTATGTGGCATATATGTGGTTAAAGTGAAGATACAAACACAAATTTCTACCTCAAATGGGCAGTGACCACTCATACAACCCCTTTCCTGTTTTCTCAGAAACACACCTGACACTGAAAGTATGACAAACTGAATGTGAGGCAAGTGTCATGTTTCGAGATGAAGGCATGTAGCGTGTTTTCAGCAAGACGGGGTACAAAGTGCACTGTGCATGTGGGTGGAGGACGAATCGGTAGAGCTTTGCTGCATCAGTGAAATGACACACTGCCAAGTAATTCATGTTCATCAATAGATGCAAGTTCACTGTTAAAACAAAACAGGAGATATAAAATAAAATGAGGCAATAGCACAATACAGGGAAGCACTCACCAGTCAATTAAATAAATATCAGGTGTCAAGTTGTTTTTCTTGAAATGTGCAAATAGCTTTGGTAGATTTTCTTCAAAGAACACTTCAAATGCTGCAAAGTACGTCAACATCTGCGGAGAGGAGAGGAGGTGGTCTTAGAGAGAAGTAAACCCAAACCACACTTACAGTTTGCTCAGTGAGTCAGACACAAATGACAGATACTTTGGTTTAAATGGAGACAAGTGTGTAAACACAGTAGAGATGATGATGGGACAGTAACATTACCAAGTTTATAAATGTGGTTAGAAATAACAGCACTAGCACTGCTATATTCAGTAAAACAGGTAATGGAATTTACTGACGTATTAGGTATTACTGATAAATGTTTTAAGTCAAACAGATTTTTTTTTTAAACCGTTAAGTTCTCAACTTTACAGCTGAACAAAGAGCTTGGCGGAAAAAGGTGATTTGCAGTCAACACATATGTATACATATATGTTTATTTTAAAAAAAGCTCAGAGTCATGTGTATTTATAGGTACTGCGTGTGAAATAAGTGGGCGCGCACGTGTTTGCCATGCTCTTTGTTTACTTACAAGGCTGTGGTCAACCCTGAAAAAGGCCATCTGACAGGGCTTGTTGAGCAGGTTGGCAAAAGCTATGAAGGCATCGGCTGTGTCCAGGTTCAGGATGAGCACAGCAGCGATGAAGGACATTCCCTGCACCTTAAAAACACACAAACACAGAGTCAGTACAAGCGAATACTTACAGCAACCCTAAAACCGGTGACGGTGCGAGCTTGTACGTGTCAAATGTTGTAATATTTAGACAGAAACACTGGCAGGAAGTCATTAACGGGTAACCTTGCATTTGAGTCAGACACTATTAATCGGTGCAGGCGCTTTGACAGTGATGTGCAAGTATTACAAGTAGTGTGGACAATAAATCTGGGAAGAGAGATGATAATGCTGATGGAGAAATGGAAAGAACTAAACCTGCGTACAGCTTACACAGACTGAGAGTGTGTGTATGTGTAGCTGCTCATGGGTTGGGGTCAAATGCAGGAAGTCACAGTCATTTCTACCTGTCTATAGACAAAAGCATGGGGCTGCGGGTAGGAGCAGCAAGGCAAACCACAGCAGCACTGCTCATTAGTGCAAATGCAGCAATTTTGCTGTAAGAGCACACAGTGATGATACTGAGAGAAACAATAAAACAGAGAGCACAGTTGGTCAGGTCCATTACAACTGACAACATAAACAAAATGTAGCGGGTGACTTTTTAAAAATACTGCTTTGCGATCGTTGCTTCTTTATCCCAAATATTCGCTGGGTTCACACTTTGTAAATGTGCAGATTGTTTGCTAATGCTCCTGCGCACGTCTTGTAAATTCAATGTTTGGAGGTTTGGATGATTTAATGAATAAAGAATCAATCTGAATACATCCCCCTATGGATTTTTGGTTTGTTTGATATTTTAACAGGCCAACACTGTGAATGAACAAAAACATACATTTTATTAAATAATAGTTTAAAAAATAAATAAAACTTCAGCCAAAAAATTCAGTTTGATTTCTAGGAATCAAGTAAACCATGAAAGTATCACAAGGGAGGATCAGGGCATCGTGAGAAACTAGAGTCGGAAATCCAGGGCGTCACTGAGGCTCAATACAAAGTCTCCTTGAAAGGAAGAAAAGAGCGAATGGAAGGAAAATATTTGAGGTCTTCTAACTTTAAAATGGAACCTACATGCTGCAGAAACCCCCTGACCAATCTCCTGGGCACGGTATTTTAGGGTTAGTGAACGTCACACAGAACTGATCTTTTGACTGGTTGCTGGTGATGAGGCACAAAAAATCCCCCCAAAAACACAAAAGACAAAACAGCGCAAACAAATGTGAATCTGTTGCTTAGAGAATTCTAGAAATTACTCTGAGCACATCACCTGTTAAACACACTAATGCCAATCATAAATGTAATATTTAATACTATCAGAAATGAAAAATTATTTGCTTTTAATATTAATGCTCAGTCCTGAGGGTCCTTCTAAATTTCCAAGTAATTTTTGCTTGCTTAGAAAATTCTGTAAATTTTCACATGTGGTCTTGTTCATAAGTAATTCAGCAGAGGTTAATCACAGGCTCCCTTTTCTACAGTTGGCTAGCCCCACATTCTGTAAATAGCATCCTACATTTTACTCATCATAGCTTGCAAAAAGGAACATAAGTGAGTCAAGCAGAAATAGGAAACTTAAAAAGAAATGCATACATATGGATGTATCCCAACTGAAACCCAAAAAAGATCGCAAACAGAAAACCAGATCAAATGAGACTTAACTACATTTGTCCTTCGTATGATTGATACCAAACACGCAGAGTTATCCTTTTAGATCAGCTCTCAGCATCAGTAACAAATGTATCTACTGGAAATCTGAAGCACCTTTATTTACACTAAAAACAAACCTATGGCATAATGTAATAAATCTGAAAATGCATCATTTTCCTCATACAGAGCTTTAGTTGGGTGGAAACGCTCACACAGATTGCTAACAGGACCATCCTCTATATGAATCTGATGATTTCATTAAAATAAAAGCCTGTGTATGTTAATACGTGTCATGTTTTATAATGTTAGACCACATCTATTAATACATTCTATTGAGGGGAGTGACTATTCATGTGGTACTACTACCACACCAAAGCTTATATAACTGTAATTCATGTGCAATATATTCCTTACTTACAATCAATTAGCAGCTTTTGGGAGGTTTTTGAGAAAAAAATACTGGAGAATATGATGGAGCTAAAGAAGGTTGTGCACAACTGTTTTATAATTGATATGAAAAAGACAAAATGCATGAAATCAAGCCAATGAGTATGAAGTGCTTTAATATCAGGACACCTAGTGAAATATCAGTGCTTGAAAGAAATACTTAGCGCCAAGAGTAAGAAGATAAAGATGGCACAGCAGGTAAAGCATTTATTTACTTAATGAGAAGGAATCGGGCCTAAATATTCTATTATTTCTGGCAGGATTTTGTTTTTCAGACTGGTGAAATATTTGAGAACCGTACTCACAGACAGTCATCCCATCTGTCTGTCTTCTTATTCATTTGGTGACTTTGAGGTAAATTACCGTGCTTTCCCCTTTTTGCTGCACTTACATTGAGCCCAGGTATCGAACTGTATCACACACCGGCATAGAAAATGTTGCCGACTTCATATTCAGTACCCACTCAGCTCCTCGCGTGTGGCAGCAACCTCCCACTTGGTGCAAATTGAATCGTCTTATTTTAAGCTAATATTAGGCTACTGTAGGTGTTGTGTGGGAGATCAAAGTCTGTTTAACCTTCATAATACACAATGAGCTGCAAGGTGCAATATCTCAAAGTTCACTTAAAATTTCCAAGAACAGTCACTTTAGTTTCAAGAAGACAAAGTCGTGGAGCGACTCCAAGGGAACAAGACTTATATTTGTGGTGTAAAAATGACCCGTTTTATCTACTACCTGAACAAATGTATTAAACAGAAATTGTTTTATTTGTTCGTTTGTTAAATAAGAGCATATAGATGAATAAACTCTTTATGGTCTCTAAAAATCAATCTAAATTTCAGCGCCAGTAGATGTAAGAATCTCATGACTAAACAATATTTTCTATACTTGAGATATTCATGTGGCACTTTGTGTTTTTGTCCTAAACATGAAGCTGTAACATGCCCCAGTCACAGGTGTGAGTATCACAACATGATGTAATATTGGTTAAGCATGTGTGACTTACATAGCCAACATCAGGCCTGTAGCAAGTGTATGCTCCCAGAATGCTGTGCAGCACGTCGTGATAGGGCCCACCCTGATGACGTACAAAGAAAAACAAAACAATGGAACAATGAGTCCAAAAACGCACAACGTACACACACCTTTTTACATTTACAAGCTTTCAAAACCTGTTTCAATCATACAAATATTTTTTTACAAAAATAAGCAAGACGTTCCTTTCATGTCTTGCTCAGTTTAGTCACGTTTTCCTTCGGTGCATCCCATTACCCACATCGTGCTGAAACGTTATTCTAATTCTCTCTCACTGACCTTCTGGAAGATGCACAGTTGTGGGAAAGTTCTTGAGATGTCCAGCTTGATGAGCTCGAGACTTGACTCTCTGTCTGAGGAACCAACATCTGCAAGACATTTCAGCACATTAAAAAAAAAAACAAACTGGAAAAATATGAGTATTATTATAAAATTAAAGAAGTTTCTTTAGAAACTCCACCTTCACTTTCAGTCTCGGTGAAGAGTGTCGCTGTGCTCTTCCACTTCTCCTTGGCCCGGGACAGACAGATGTTATACAACTCTGCACAGACACACAAACAGCAGCACAGTGAAGTTAATGTGAGAGATTGGAGGGACGCACAAGTTTGAAGACTGAAATGTGAACGTGATAAATGGACAGAAAGCACTCGCATCAGCAAACAGTGAAGGTGACTGAAGAAAACATGTCCCCCAATTACAGAAGACTGCACTGCTGTGCAGCCTTTCCTTTGAACTGCTGCTGCCCTCTGGTGCTCAGATGCTAGATTTAATATTGAGCGTTCAGAGAGGAGATGTGGAGATTTACACTAGTGCTCGAGTCAAATCTGAACTACAACAAGCTGCTTGTAGGATGAAGAGGTTAAGCTGATGATCGGTTAGCCTGTGGTATGCAGCTCGTTAAAGACAGATTGAAGCATTAGTTGATGCTAGGACTTTAAGCAGCCTGTCGGGTGATTGGTCTAATAGAGACGTTGATGGTTTGGAGGAACCGATTAGTGAAGTTAACTCGGAGTTTTAAAACAGCTGATATTTATTTAAAGCTGCTGTAAATAATTGCACGTTATGACAAGTGAACAATTTCTCTAATCATTAAAGACAGATTATTACTCTGCTATATTACTCATCTGCAAGCCAGTCAAAGACATTAGTAGTAGCATTAGCATCAATAATAAAAATGCTTCTGTGAAAGTGAGGGAGTGCTGTCACTGAGCTGCCCATGCAGCTACTTTAAAGGGACTGAAAACTCCACGAGTGTGTGTGTGACTGCAGTGTGTGTTTTGGTGTGTAGGATAGTGTAGCTCCAGTTAAAACGATGAATAGCACAAAGTGGAGCAGACCAGCTCAGCAGTCAGAGAGAGTGCTTATCTGCAAGCAGCCTTGAGGGTGCTGAGGAGCACACACACACACATTTGAGCATGCATGCACACAAACACACAGTCTAAGGAATGCCAATTTCAGTTTGTACTCCATTCTCAAGAGGAAGATGAGGGTAGTGTGTGTGTGTGTGTGTGTGTGTGTGTGTGTGTGTGTGTGTGTGTGTGTGTGTGTGTGTGTGTGTGTGTGTGTGTCGTCTGTGCAGGATCAGCGAAGTCATTGAAATGCTGCACATTCTCTCGTGTACTGGGGGAATTATTGGACCGTGCTCCTTAATGGACACGCTCTTCCTTCCTCTTCTATCCATCTCACTGCCACACATTCAACTACAAACACTGAGACAAATTGGTGCACCCATCTGCGTGTGTGTGTGTGTGCTTTTATTACTTATTTTGTGGGGATGTGTGTTTTTGCAATCACCCAATGAGAAGAACACCAACTTTTGAGCATCAAAACGCTCGCATTAAAGAAACTGTTACATTTTAAGTTGCAGACATAATTCAGGGCTAGGTTAAGTTAACCCAGCTGGCAGTTTTTAGGTTAAGGTTTGGCCTGCTAACAGATCTTTTAACTTGAGAAAACACACACACACTCATTCCCACGTACCGTGTGTTATGTTGAGATCGTTGCCCACAGCCAGGCTCCACACTTTCCCTCTGACACTGGGGGGGATGCCCTGCCACCAGAGGTCCCTCACTCGTCGAGATGTACACCTGTAGCAGTGGGGGATTAGAGGGGAAAAAAATGTTAAGCACATCAGAGTCTATGATAAAAATGTTTTATAGAGTGGGCCATAGGTTAACAATAACCTAATTGGCAAACCACTGATTCGAAAGCAAGAAAAACACTTTCCTTCAGTCTAACACCATCTATACTGTCTTCTGTTTGTATTGTTGTAGTAATAAAGATACAATAGACTAAAGGAACGATCTGGCAGCAGTACTGTAGCAATGTTTGGTAGTGTGAAGTGAATTAGTCACATATTAATCAAGGAGTACACCTGCAGGAGGAGCCTGGTACTTTTATGAAGATTACCTGAGATGACCACACTGGTTTGAACGTGTTTTTCCAGCTTAACCGCCACAACAAGTTATGTCTTGTTATATTCTTATGTCTGCATACTGCATTTCCGCCCTGCAGTGCTGGCCAACAGCAGCAGTGTACTAAATGCTCCCAAGAAGGATCAAATATTGAAGATTCAGTAAACTTTTAAGCAGGCAGAGAAGTAAAACTGTCTATGTGGTAATAAAGGAATAGCGAGTTGAATTTGTTGGTCATTATTTTCTCTGACTTGTACTTCTGTGTTTTTTATTAAAAATTCAAGTCCAAAGTCAACAACACTATTGCGTGTTCTTCCAACATGTACACTCCTATAGTCAGGCTCTTTTCAGGGTCAAATTCAAGCATTTTCAAGCACCTGTACAAACCCTGAATACTGTACATGTTGACCAAGGAATACTGCACATTGAGCATGTTGCACATTTTGCAAGTTCTGCATTAAACTGAGAATAAAATGGCAGTAAAGCTCCATGTAATCCCGCAGTGTAACATGCAGCGAGGACCAACATCAGGCTTAACCTTCGTAGCCACCTAAACACAAATGCTAAACACTGATACGGCATTTTTGTTGTTGTGACTCTAGCTGTTGGTATGGAAGCTAACTGCACAACTGAATATACCGAAGCAAAGCAATGAGCTTTGTTATTGTTAAATATGTTATAATTCAAACCAGAGTCTTTTTTGTACTCACACTGTACTCCAATTAGGCAGGATGTCTTGGTTCCAGGTCTGAGCTGCTGTGCCAATGCTCTCTTCAAGCTTGCATCGATCCTCCAGCTGCTTCTTCCTCCTCTGAGCTTCTTTTAACTCTGCAGAAGTCATTAAACATAAAATTACATGGGAAAGAGAGGAGCGGACAACAGACTGGACAGAAATAAGAGTCTGAACTATTGTGTAGTGTGCCAGGCTGAGGACAAAAAAAAAAGAAAGCAACATTGATGCTGAAGCTGCAGCCTCAGTTCACTCCACTGAACTCACCCCTCTTCTTAACCTGGGCCACCATCTCTTCATACTGCTGCCTGTGTTTCTGTGCCTCCTCAGCTGGCTTGGCAGGCAGGTTACTGCACATGCAAATGCACACACACACACACACACGGTTAGCAACTATGTGCTCTTGCATTACTCATGCTGAGCAATCTTGGAGTGTATAAAAAGAACATCAGGACAGGAAGCTGCATGTGTTTATGGAGTGAACACAGCTGCTTATATTCCAGTAAATTCAACTTACTGCCTCTTTAACATGCTACAAACATTAGATAACCCTTTTTTCTTTTTTTTCATCTTTTCCAGTCTTTCTAAATCACTTGGCTGATGTCATGCTAGTTGCTGGTTAAAATCAATAAGCATTTAAATTTTCTCAACACCTTTGCCTTTATATATCAGCCCCTGGCAACAAAGTTTATTCTTGGAATAAGGACTCGGAATAGGCTCAGGGAAAGAACATAAAGGAGGAACATAAACATCTAACTGATAAAGAAAACACTCCACAGCACGTACTACAACGGACCTTGAGAAAAGAAAAGAAAACACAATGAACTAAAGGAACATTTACAATCATTACAGTGCAGATTGTTTTCCTTTCCACTATCTTGCTTTGAGTCTTCTGCATGGCAAAAAAAACGTATCAAAACTGTGTATATGGTTAACAATGTGCAACACAACTTTCATTATTTGGACGGCTTTCATGAAGTTCAAGCAGATCAATTCACTGTTACTCATATAACACGAAATCACAACAACAGTCGCGTCAACGTGCTCTATAATGTATGATAGAGGATACAATCATACAGAAAAGCCCCCAACTTGGCGATAGTGGGGAAGAAAAACTCCCTTTTAACAGAAAGAAACCTCCAGCAGAACCAGGCTCAGGGAGAGACGAATAGCACAGCCGAAACTGATTAAGCAGCTCTGCTACTTAAGTGACATGATCCTATACTCCGATTAAAAAGTGTTCCTTTAATTTTTTTTTCAACAGTGTATAAAATGCTATATACATATGTGCCAAAGTCATCAGACTATATTTGTTATACTCTTATCAACTGTGACAATAAACATAAATACAAACGGCATTAAATTCAAACGTATTCAATTATTAAATTGCAATGTGAAAAACAACATTCGTAACAATGCTAAAATAAATCCATCTTTGTTAACAGCAAAATAAATGTTAAAATATATATGCTATGTTTAGTCACATTTGTTATAAAACACATCATTTGCACTTTTCTTGCAGGTTCAGAGCTTGTGTGCAGACACATGAGAGGCTGCATGCCACAAAGGGAGCAGCAGCTGAATGCAGTTCTGCCATTCATGGTGTCAAAATAAACTTCCTGGTGTTCACAGAGGAAATGTGTCTGAATACGTTTTCATACACTTAGCTCATGGCTAAGCAGCAGTACTCAAAGATGTTGCTCGGCATGTCTGTCTGCCTGAATGCAAAAACATTACAACATACTAAAGAAAAGAAAAAAAAATTACAAAAGGGAGGGTAATGAAACCAAGCTCAGCGAGGGCCATTAAACTTTCAGCAGCACGTCTCTTTTACCATCTGCGATACAAGCGGGGAAACAGTGAGAGCTGAAACAATGCAGAACAGAGCCTAACGACCTGGCAGGGGAAGGAGAACTGATAAGAAATGAGAGGAAGAAGGAGATTGGCTTTTATGTCTGATAAGCAAACTCAGCTGACAGTGAGAGGGAAAGAAAAATGTGACTGCGCCGTTTGTGTTTACATACGCAGGTCTGTCTTCTAGTATCAGCGCAGTGGTGGAGAGAGGCTCAAAATCCAGGTTTTTCCTCACACTCTGCCTCGGAGATGTTGGGTTGCCAGATCCAGCTCTGCCACTCTTTGTTTCATATTCCTGACATCAACAAAAAAATAGAAAATTTAGACATAGAAACATGAAAGTAACAGTGTAACTGTGTCACAGGGAAACCAACTTGCTTTTGAGGTCAGTTTCATTTGGTCTATATTTAGTTTCACACATTAAGATCTGCAGCATTTAAACTGAAGTGAAGAACAGAACAAGGTAGAGCACTAACAAAGGTCACAGGAGGCCTCAGTTCATGCTGTAGCTTGATGCAGACCGGTTAATAATGGAGGGAAAAAAGTTGATAAAAGAAGAGATGACTACTATTCTGTATTTGTATGACGTTAACTTGACATGGCCTCTGAACATTTGCCAGCTGCTGTTTAACGAGTCTGTTGCTTCTGCTTCACTACTGGGAATGTGATACAGGACTTTTAGGAAGAGAGCACCATGTGACAGGCAGTCATTACAGCTAAGACCACACTACACACAAGACCAACCGTCAGCTGACTCACAGGGTGTGTGTGTGTGTGTGTGTGTGTGTGTGTGAGATTCAGAGAAGGCCTGTCATAGATCTTATGGTGTGCTGCTAATCAATTAGGAAGCTATAAATGGGGTGAGTGCAATATGAGTGCAGAAACACCCCAAGTGTGACCAAAATGGCCTCCAGTGTGTAGTGTTGGTTAATAATGCAGGCTGAGATCTGCAAGCAATCAACAACACTATACCACCAATGGGACACACACACACACACACACACACAGTCGGAAAATCTATTCCCTCAACAGGACTGTGTGTGCACAAGTGCATTCATGACTTTTGTAATGCAGCCAGTGTCATTAATTTCTTTGTGTTTGTGTCTGTTGCACCTGCTCTCAATTGGTGTTGGGGGTGGGGTGAGTAAATAAAGGTAATTGGACCTAATTTTTCCTTGAGGTGGGGGGGTGGGGCACCAATATGCTTGTCATACTCTGCACCACGCTTTGGTGTCAGGCAGTCTCACACCTTTCTGTTTTTTGGGAGGTGTCCGCCCCCTCCCCTCCTCCCCTCACACAGGTGATGCAGCAAGTGGTAACAAACACATGAGGAAAGATACTTATGTGAAAATAAATGGAAGAGAAATAACAAACCAATAAAACACAACACTAGTTTTAGAGTTTAAGGTATCATGTGAAGGTGATTGAAACAGAAACATGCACATGATGGAGGGAGATAAGATGAGCTAAGCTTGTAGTGTGGAAGAGGAAAATTCTGCTACTGTAAGTGACTGAGGAAAATTAGAGAGGAGAGTACTACACAGAAGGTTATTTAGCAGTGCCATTTGTGTGTACTTCTGTCTGCTTTGCCTGTAGTTGCTGTCCATATCCTCTTTCATCTGCTTTGCATCTGTCTGTCTTTCACTTACTCTGTGCTTGACTGTTCTTTAACTGCACCATACTGAAGATCACTGATCTCCCGAACTGGCTAATTTAGCTTCAATCTTCTGTTTCATTGTTTTGGTTTCTTGACTCACAGATTTATATTCAGTCATATTAATCCACCCACCTTTGATTCCAGCAGCTATTTAAAGTATTTAGCTGTCAGTCAGATATTTCTCCTAGGAGTCTTCCCAAACATGCTTCCAATGAAATCCTGAGGTTGTTCACTGAACTTAGAATAGTAAAGTCTCTGTTAACCAGGTTTTTCTGGTCAACCATAGTGGTTTAATTGCTTAATAAAGAAATAACAGTCATGTGCTGCTGCATGGCTTATTAAACATGATGTGTACTCAAGCAGCTGCAGGTCAAAGAAAAAGGTTAGAGATGTGCTGCCTGAAAATCAATGGATACTGCAGAGAGGGGGAGGAAGAGCAGATTTTGAAGAGGAGTAGGCATCTGTTCAACCTGGCATCTGTTCAGCAGCAGAGCAGGTACACGCACCAACGTGAAACTAAAGAAGAAAGGATGTGTGAGTGGCAGTGCTGAGGTGCTGATGAGAAGGTGTTGGTGCAGTATTAAAGTGCCCGAGGTAGAAAAATATGTAAAGTTAATGAGGTTATTAAAAAAAAAAAAAAAAAAAAAAAAAAAAAAAGATGAGACATGGCTCCAATCCTTGATTCTCTTCATGGCTCCCTGTTAAATCCAAGGGAGTTTTTATATCCTGCTATCACCATGCGCTTTCTCAAAGGAAATGATGTGAATGTTGGGATTTTCTCCCTATTATTGTAAACTTACTGCAAAATTATTCTTTACCTTACAATAAAAAGTACCTTGGGGTGAATGTTGTGTGTTGGCACTATATAAATAAAATTTATTTGAACTTAAAGCTGAAGTGAATTGAAGTGATCATCTGGGAGGTGAGGCCGAAGAGCTATTGTGCCATTGTGACAATGAAACAAAATCCAGTAAAACGGTAACCCAACTATTCCAAGTCTTGATGCATCCTCAACCATCCAGATAAGGAAATCCTAGAAAGTTTATTCTGTTCATCTGGGAGAAATATTTCACTCATCCAAGCGATGTTGAGATAATTACAATCAACCTTTTGTGGCACACTACTCCACATTCCTCTGTTACCTCACAGGTAGTGCTACAAGTTAATCAACACTTAAGCTGACGAAGCATGAGCAGAAAGGATGAAACATTACTTTACCAACTCTTCCTCCTGTGGTTCTGTCACTATTATAAATGCAACACATTTGTTTTCTTGTTTTGCAACACAAAAAGCTTCTGCTTTACAAAAACAAAAAACTACACCCTGATGTTTATTGCCCTTGTTTTGGATACTGAAAGCTTGATGCATACAGCTTGATTTCAAACTGCTCATATGCAAAGGTGATCAAAGATCTCTTCCCCAGTTTCCCTCTGCTTACCACTGATCAAATAACAGAGCTTTATCGGACTGTGCCACGCCTCCTGATGTTTCATACTGTTTCATGTGGAAAGATATAGTAAAATCCAATTCATTTGTCATCCTGGTACAGGAACAAAGCTGTAAATAACACTTGTAAAACGTGCTATATTTCTTAGAGACTCAGCGCTGGGAATAAAGGCAATCTGTCATCTGTTATACCCGTTAGCTGCAATAGCAATTGGATCCCATGATAACCTACAGCCAAGGCAACCTGCTTTGTCACTATGGCTTTCAGTAAAGTTCTCCAATTTCCTGGTAGTGATGTAAGAGCTCTCTGGGTGCCTGGCTGGCACAGTCTTTCCGATTTAAAGCTATAGACGTGAGGAAGCTGCTCTGTGATGATGACCTCAGGATATTTTCTTTAATGATTCGCATTTGGTCAGTCAGTAATATGTGTTCAAAGTCAAATGAAATTCTGCTTGAGAAGAGGTTAATTTCACTCCTGGTTGTAAAACCGTCCTCCTACAGTGTCAAAGAGCATAGCCTCTGCATCAAATCCTCAGAAAAACACCACAGGGCTTTCTAATAATGCAAGCTGGGAGCTGAGAGGAGACCTCAGTCTGCTTATCCTTGTCGCCAAACTCAGCTTTTCACCAAATGCTGCTTAAGGCATCAACAAGCATACAACAGAGTAAAATACTAATTGATTCTCTATCATTTGTTATGTAGGAAGGTAGGGGTGTGTGTCAATTTACAGGTTATCTAATCAGAAAGGTAGTAAATTCTGCTGAAGGTCTCTTCCTGGTAAAATGCTTTCCTAATGTTGCCTTTTCACAGAGGATTTCACAGCTATTGGGGTTGTCTCTCCAATAGTGTATGTCTGAAGGTTCTCACTCATCCAGGTCATCATAATCTAAGGAGGTTGGAAATAAAGGAGTCTGGACTTCTGCAAGTTTCCTGGAAGACGTTTCACCCCTCATCTGAGAAGCTTCTTCAGTTCTAAGAGCAACCGTGGGGCTACCGTGGTTCAGGGGGTTGCCGGTTCGATCCCCAGCTCTCTCTGTCCTGGTCGTTGTTTCCTTGGGCAAGACACTTTGGCCAACACCAGTAGGTGGTAGGTTAGAGGGGCTGATGGCACAATATGGCAGCCTCACTTCTGTCAGTCTGCCCCAGGGCAGCTGTGGCTACAACTGCCTGCACCAGTGTGTGAGATTGAATGAATAGTAGAATTGTAAAGTGCTTTGGGTGGCTCTTCTATGTTGTGCCATGCACTTATGAAGTGGCTGTTTGGTCTTGGGGACACCCCCATAGGGCTTAAAATCTGGGACTCTCCACCAATTACTCTTAGAACTGATGAAGTTTCTCAGATGATAGGTGAACGTCTTCAAGGAAACTTAAAGTCCAGATGCTTTTCTTTCCAAGCTCCTTAGACTGTACGTTCTGTACTTAACACTTAAAAGGTACTTTTTGACAATGTTTGCTATGGACTCCTATTATGTTGTGACCAACGTCTGGTATATGAGAACACCATAATGTAAATAGTAGACACACAAGCAACATGAAATTCTGCCTGTTACGTTTGGTTGCGTAACAAAAACAAACTTGACCTAACAAAAAAACAAAAATAAACATTTTACTCCTTTTTCATCTTCTGTCAGTAGAAGTTTGTCAATAGGATGATTCTGCGTGAGTACCAGATTGAGTTTTTATTAACCTACAGATTAAAAGGTTTGTGGTGGTGAAAAAAAAAATCAAGGTTAAATCAGGAACAATCAAGAACCACAATGTCACTTTGTTTTTAATGCCAACCATCATTGTCATTATCCCATTTGCTTATTTATATCATCTATGACACGTGACCTTACTCATGTTGGAGTAATTAAATGTTTCTGAATTGCTTTCAAACAAGGATTCCAACTGCATGTAGTGTCTTTGGCACAGGACAGCTGACACATTAATAACAGTTCTCACAGGGGAGCTGAGGAGGAGTCTGTAATGATCTGGCAGAAAGTGAACAATATCTAGACAAAAACATAGAACTGAATACTGGCATCAAACACTCCAATGAGACGTCTTAGATGAGCTGTTTCTTTTTAACTGCATCAGTGGTGACAGCAGGAGGAAATCCCTTGGATGTCCCTACAATTAAAAAAGACAATGCTACTTCCACACTGCTACACATACTTTGGTAATACTTGGTAAAGGGCTACAGGTCAGGTTCCATGCAGTGGCGATGCTCTGTCCCCTAGCTGGCCAACCAACCATCAACACATCCAAAAACCAGACATTATCTTTTTAGAGACATTCCAGCAATCATCACCCTGCTCCCCAACACAAAGCACAAAGCTACGGCTATTATGGAATAGCTTGAAAGAGGCTATTACAGGATACCCGAGATGTCCTTTTCCTGTGCTGCTTCTCTTTCAACCTCTGACTACCAGTGTCCTCTGATTCTGCCAGACAAGGCGAGAGACAGTGGGTCATCACACTCACAATGCAGCTGCTCACTCACCATGAACGCTGCGGTTCTGTACAGACAGCCAGTCCTCCGGTGGGGGTTCGTCTTGAAAACCCTAGCCTAGCATCATTGCTGCTCCACAGGGCTCACTCCTGGCAACAGGAAACCCAGGAGGTGAAAAAGAAGGGCTGCTGACAGAGCAACACACCCCGCATTACAAGATGATACAGCACCATGATACCCTGTTTCCTCCCCCCACTCTCTCAGTGTCCCTCACTTGGAGCGGTGACGCTACACTGATCCACTCTAGTCTGTCAGTGCCGCTGCTGCGTGTGTGTCAGCAAATCAGCACCACCGTGTCGCTGCGCTCGAAGGAGCTCTGCACTCTGCTGTGCTCTGGCAGGCGCTCTAATCAAACCCCGAGTAATAGATTAGTTCACAGCCACTCTGGCCTCCACTCTCTTAATCCAGTCAGGACAGAATGAGCAGCTGCGACTTAAGAACTGATAGATCTTTTAAAGACAGCATAACAACACATGAAGAGATCTAAAATTGAATGAAAGCTGTGATTCCATTTCTAAACATTCAGTTGCCTTTCAAAGACGCAAGTATCCAGAAAGCTTTTGTTGCTAAGGCTGAAACACAAAGTTCAACTAATGAAGGCTTCAGGTGCTGTGGCAACATTGTATCTGTACTCTGGACAGATGGAGGGATGGACAACTTGAGGGGGGGGGGGGTCTGAAAATGTTATTCTATTCATTTCTATGTTGAAACTGGTTAGATCCATTAGCAGCATCTAACCAGTTGTTAGAGGAAGCTAACATATCAGAGGAAACCAAAGGCTAGGCAGTTAAGAGGATTATAGGCCGATACGACCAATTTTTTTCTTTTTTTTTTTTTTTTTTTTTTTTTTTTTTTGTTAAATAAAGTCAAATTATTGCAACCATGCTACTAAATTTAGACAACATATGTTTGGCTATCAGCTTCTATGTGAACATTTGTTGAGAATCTTTTATTTTTTATTTATTTATGGTGACAAAAGGTAACTTGATTCCAATTATTATATTGTTCACACACGTGAGCGAGGTGCTGGACACACGCGGGGGACTGGCTATAAATAACTGCATTATACAGTAAAAACAAATCACATTGAGACTAGATTAAATAAATAAGCGAGTAATCTAATCCTCTTTCCTTCATTGAATTTATCTTTGTCTCTTTTTATGCATTATTAATGTGAAATCAGACTCGAAGTCACAACAAGGCCTTTAAACACAGTGGAGCACAGTGATGTTTTACTCTCAGCAATGCAGAATTGGTGTACATGACAGAATAATGATTCATAGCTTTGGGAAAAACTGTTAGTGGAAACAGCACAGTGAGTCTCATAATAGCTCAACAATAACAGAGTCAAATAGGAGTCCACACAGAGTCCAGTAACTCCTCCGTGAAACAGCAGCAGCACTGGCTTAACAAAGCCTTGAAATCCGAGCCTTGTTAACTGATTCCTCAGGTCCAATATAGAGTTACAGCCACAGACAGACTTGTGTGTGTACATGAGCACTTGTATATCAACATGCAATTTAAAGCCAACTTGTTAAAAGGTTACACATTAACAGAACCTTTAACTGGGCTTCCCATGCACAAAGATCACTGTAGAGTGCTTTTTCCTTTGTATCAGAAACGGGGCAAATGGAAACACAATAACAGGTTTCTGATGGCTCTAATTACATGTTAGCATCTGGTTCTTTAGTTTATTTTATCAGCACAGAGCGACCCTCTGCTTTTATTGAGCCTTGGGCACTTTTCTGTGGAAGTGGGAAAAAATAATAAGTATTCAGGCACCAGCTGGCTATCTGGCAGTGTTGTCAAAGACCTTGACATTTTGAATACTGCATAACAAACACGTTATGCTTGCTCTCCACTAAACCCAGTCACATAGAGAGAAACAGAAAAATAAGTATATATAATATTTTAGCAGGTTCTACTTGTATACATGCAACTGTTTCTTCTATTTTGGCCATTTTACATCAAAAGACAAAAAATATTTTAGGCAGCCATAAAAAGAATTGATGATTCATTATAACCGAAAAGCTGGAGCTCAAAGCAAATGGGTGTCCATAAAGGAAGCAACTACCAGCAGCCACAGAAAGTCAATGAGATCGAGCAACTTCAAGAAAAGATGGAAAAAATAACCACTGACCATATGAAGTTAAAATATACAGATCGTTTTCATCTTTGAGGTGAGCAACTGCAGCTTGGAATGTCTGATAGCGACCAAACATCACTGTCTGTCAGGGATAATACGTGTAGCATACTTACATCCCCAAAGGAGTATATTATCAACTACTTCAGCTGTCTTCCTGAAGTCCACTGTATTGTAATAACATGCTCCTGCTATAGTGACCATGCAAATAAAATTCTCCTTGTCATGTAAAACCCAAACCATGACCGTGCATGCTCCCTGCTTTGAATAAACGAATAAATAGCTCAAGTCAAACATTTGCTGGGCCATCTACTATACTTCTAAGAGCTGCTGAAGCCAAACAGAGGGGCCACTTCAATTTCTGCAAGTGGTATTTTTTTAAATATAGCAGCTGAACCTGCATGTCATTTTTCAGCTCAGTACTCTTATTGTTCGAGAATACAGCAGATTGTATGCATGATCTGAGTATTTTGAACTTGCTTATGATGAGAGCCATTATGAACCAACTACTGACGAAGGCTTCTTTATCAGTCTTAAGTAGTTATGATGTTACTGTACTTTACCTCATGGTACAACATTAAGGCTCTGCTTAAAACTGAATCCAAGCTATCTGTCTGACCTTTGAACAACAGATGCACACTCTGCAGAAACACCAATTCAAAACTGCACTTTCTGAATTGAACTGATCACATTTTGGGTCAGAGCTGGACCCTGGATCATGGAGCCAATGCCTACTTGTATTAGCGTCAGTTACCTTATGAATATAATACCAATGGTTTGTGCATCAGACAGCTGGCTGTACAGTTTGACTGGGGCTGTGATGGCAGCACCTTCTGCAGTCACATAAACCGCTCCTGATGGTCTATGCCAAGGCCAGATCAACCCCATTCATAGCACACATGCGGAAGGCTGGTTTTCAAGGACAGTGACCGACTGGAGTAGGATGTTGATACCTTATCAGCTTTATCAAACTCCAGACTAAAAATGTAATTATACTTTTCATGGTTATTTTCCTGTTGGAGTCTTCATAATTTTATTTGATGGTTTCCATTTTTCTGCATAGTCACCACAAACAGAAGATCAGCTGCTCTGGGAAGAAAAATCCTTTGTTCTACTGAAGTACGCAAGGCCATGTTCTGTGTGTCAACCAAGCAAAGCACACACAGAGCTGAACAAATGGGCTACAAACAGACAAACTCTCCTTGGTTTATAAACAGGACAGTGAAACTTCATGTAAAGGAGAAACAGTTCCTTTTCTGATTAGTTTTCTCTCAAACGAGCAGTGACCTCCACCTCACACTGGGGCGGTGCCCAGCTGAGCAACAGGAATGAAATTTGGCACATCGCAAGTCTGAGAGAACAGTTCTCATCTGGAAAAGAGTTAAAGGCACATACCAGGGAAGGCAGAGGTTCATCTGCAGTGGTGCAGACACTGTACTGGTGTGCTTTGAAAATAAGAGCTGAGTGTACAGCAGAGCTGTAAATTCATTGGTCGGTCTATGTTCTTACCCTCGCCTATGGCCACAGGCTGTAGGCAGGGACTGAAACAATAGGATAGCAGATGGCTGAAAACTACAATATACCTGCTGCAACAGTCGGTCACTTCGCTCAGCACGGCAACTGTGTTTCATAGACATTTGTTTTATACCTGCTGTTACAGGAGGCTGCCGCAGTATTCTCCTGAACTATAGATATGGCCACTTAGACAATACATCCACATAAGCGTTGATATAGGAGGAAAAGAAGCCAAAACTGGAAGCCAAGATGTTGTCAAAGGTTTTTTGCAAAGTTTTTTCCACAAATTGTCAAGTTTTCTGCATCTGTGCATCTCTGATCATGTGCTACAATATCATTAAAATGGCAGTAAAAACCAATACAGCTGTGTCTTCAACCCAGCTCTAGCAGCGCACCGTGCCAAGTTAAAAAAATTGAGAGGTGCATAAGCAGCCGACTGGCATCAAAATTGATGCGCAACACTACATCATGCCACATGAGATTAAGCCTAGCTAGTACATTGAAAGAAGCCTAGTTCAGGAATCTTTTCTAGAATGTCGTCAGGATGCCTCCTTGTTTTGGAGTTTTAGGCTTGTCCTACCAGGGAGGTGAAGAAATTAATTGGAGAATGGAAAGTATGGTGGGGAAATGGAGATCTGCACATCACTGCTTGGACTGCTGTTCGTCTGACGCAGACGCAACTACTGCCCACGTCTCCATCCTTTCTGGCAATTCAATAGGTATGCTCGTGCCACAAGCCACACACAAAATAAAGCCCCTTAAGTTCTGCTGAACCCCTGGTCTGACTACAGATTCTACCTTTTGTATTTTCTTAGGGTCTTTGAGGGGGCTTTCCCGAAGTGGGACTTTCCCAAACAGCTTCCACCCAGGATCCTTCTGCTCCACAGGCTGATTTTCCTTCACTCTCCTGGCAAACAGGCTCCTGAGAGAGGAGAATGACACAGAATTAGAATGGACGATAATTAGCTCATTATAACAGCAACAAAAAGGAAGGAAGGCGTTGACAACCTGCCTCCTGACTAAAGCAATCAGTGAGGTGAAACACTGTAGTGTGTGTGTCTCTACTACTGGAGGGGACAGCTGATGTAAAGCCACATATTGTATATTTGACTTAAAGAACAAGGGGTTATAGGTCGCAAGCCATTTAACCTCCTACCTTATATGAGCGATATTCAATTAAAATTTAAGGTCTAGTTAGAGAAAATTTCCTCAAACCAAGGTCCAAAATATCAAAGTTCCAAATGCATTATAATTTAATGCAATATATAATAAAGTAGCCCAATTTTTGAATCAGTAGTAGTTTGAAGTTATATAAGAATATTAAATCTACATTTATGGTAATTTCATTTTAATGGAGAAAGACAGAATTCAACCAAAAATCCAGAAAGAAAATATTACATGAAAGTAATAAATAAATAGATTTGCATGTCTCTGAGTAAAATAAAAATTTGATTCCCCCACAGATTGACTATAATCATGGGACATAGCCAGTCAATTCCAGATACTACTGATCTTAACTTGTTGTGTATAAAGTACACCTTTTCACAGAATCAATTTGCTTTTATTCCAACCTATCCACGACCACAGGTAAGACCAAAGATCGATCAAAGAACGTGACAAGACTGCAGATCTGCACAACGCTGGGCTACACATGGATGAGTTACAAGAACATCAGCAAGAAGCTTGGTGAGAATATGACAACTGTCCGTGCAATTATTCAGAAGAAACTGTCACCCTTGAAGGAGTTCTTCCCTCACAGGGTGAGGATGATCACAAAAAAAGTGGATCAGCCTAGAGCTACACTTGTTAATGACGTAAAGGCAAATAAGACCACAGTCACCAAGAACACCACTTTTAACACACTACACATTGAAACCTTGCAGCGTTCCAAGTTCCCCCCTTGGTTATGCGGCCGATCTTACAAACTCAGAAGGAGAACATTTCCCCCACTGTACATCGACTATTGTAGACAAAGGAAAAGGCTGACCATACTAAAATAACAATAAGATAAATGTGAGAAATGTGGCACTAACTTAAAATAGAAATGGTGCATCAAAATCTAGTAATAGGTCTGGGTTCAGATCCAGATTGTAGTCTGCCTATTCACGACTTAGGCACAATATGGAAGAAAGCATTGGGAAATGGTTGAATTTGGGTGTTTTTTTGTCCCACTGCCACAGGTGTATAAAACTCAAGCACTTGTAAAAGAATGGGTCATCTAAAGAGCTTACTGAATTTGAGTATGGTAGTAAAAAAGATGCCACTGTTGCAACAAGTCAGAGTGAAATTTCGTATCGGCAAGTGGTATTATTGCAAAACTAAAGTGTTTAAAAACCACATCAACATCATGTAAAGTTACGGAGCAGGCTTGCCATGTGCTGAGACACACAGTGCCTAACTGCAGAGTTCCAAATTTCCCCTCATTATTGCCGCTTTGACTGAAGAATACTACCTTCATCCAATGAATTTTGTGAATTCCCATTTGAAATGAATTGTATCCAGTCTCCTCTGCACTGCATTGAAAGTGCAGTGGTTTCAACCCACCTGGGGTTTAAATACTACCTGCTAAACCGTTGAAAAGCTTTCTTTTGTTCCACAACATTCACTAAGCCGTTTAGCCAGCTATTCGGTTTTATTTTTTTATTCATTTATCACTGCGTTGATGTCACTGAGCTGTTAGAGGTGGCTTTAATTAAAAGCCCGAATAGAGGCAAGCTGTGAAAAGACATTTAAATTGGTCAAATAAAAAGCCTCTTCTGATCAAGCAGGGCAAGAACAGGCACAATAGAAGGCTGTAACATCAAAGAGCCCACACACTGCTGTTTGTCTAAGGCTGAATTTCATCAAGGGGTCTTCTATAATGATTTTCACACGTCAGCTAAATATGACATTTTCAAGCTTTGGCTCTCAGCAAGTTGTACAGACATGTGGAAAGAGCCGGGAAGGGTCAAATAGGTCTAAATGCACAAGTTGTCTCAGTTGAATCAGTGACCCCTGACCTCTTAAGTGCTGCACAGCTTGACCTGTGCCCCGTGGGTTGGTCTCGAGAGTAGTGATGACAGGAAACATGCTGCCAAACACAGGACAGACTCATTCAATGACTGTCACCACATGTGCTACGGGCTTCTGTTTTTGCTTTGGAAATTGCTTCATTCAAGATGTTCTGTGCTCAGTAAAACCTTACAGTTCCTGTCATCTGGACAACAAAATGACACTGGCTCTTATCTTGCTTAATAACAGTAGTTATAAAGTTATTATAAAGTGCAATTAATACTAATCAAGAAGAAGCTGCATCATATCAAAAACAAGCAATGCTTTGCTGCTAGTAATCACTTATGTTCAATTACTAAACAAATCTTGCAGCTGCTCTAAAATTAGTTTGTAATTTTCCTTTTTTATGATTTGGTAATATTTCAGTTTTCTAGTTACAGTAAAACAGCCCAAGTTGCAAATATGACCTATATTCCACAAGAAAAAAAAAACAAAACTAACATGCACAGAGACCAAACTACTATAATAAAGCTCACCACCTCTGAGCAGCTAACTCAGCTGAACTTCCCTTGTTCTATGCAAGTCTGATCTCTTCAGGAGCTTTTAATTATCTTAAGAAGCCAATTAAAAAGCTCTATTTTAAATTCAGAAAAGAAATCCATGAGCTATGAGCCCTAAAATGCTGAGGCCTGAACAACTTATTCAGCAATATTAGCTGAGAATTAATAGGGAAGAAGTATTATTTATGTATAACCTGCAGGTTTTCCAGTATTCAGAAAGCAATGTGTTTTATGAGTTACAGAGCAGTCTGAGGAGCAAATATCAGGAATAAAAACATTATTTCTTGTAGACCATTAATACTGTTAGGAATCAGAAGGTGACGCAAGACAGAAAGATGACAATACCATCACACTGCAACTCTGGACAACATTTCAAACAGCCAAGCTTTACAGCCAACCAGCTGTAATTGCTTATGAAACGTAACAAAGATTAACAACAATTTTGCTAATGATTTACCATGGTGACATTTCAGTTTCCAGTGACAACCTGAAAACAAAATAACTTGATCTTAACAAGTAAATCCATTTATGTTCACAGTCAGGCATAAGCTGGGCGAGTCGCCATTCTATTTACCCTCTAATGCCAACGCCTCATTCCTGCCTCGTTGTAGCTGCACGTTTCACATCAACCCTGCATATTTTCCGCTCTGCTTGCTGATAACTACAGTACACAAAGATAAAAGTAACGGAATGTTACTCCCAAGGTGAAAAAAAGAAAGCCGTTAAAAGCCAACACTTTTAATATTTTACAAACTGTAAATGCACAGTGACATTTAAGCTGAACTTCTCTGCTATTTTCACAATTGCACAGACAAACCAGTGAACAAAACAAAAAAACCCCACCATTTTCCATACTATCGCCATTTTCTTAATATTTTGACAAAGAAGTGCTTGAACGCATAAGACATCGGTAAATTGTACAGCACCATTTCACACTCAAATATAGAGGAAATGGTCAATTTAAGGATGTAATATCTACTGACATCAAAGCCATCTAACTCCACCCACAGCAAACAGAGGAAGGAAACGTTAGCCTTCAGATTACAAAGAAACAAAAGATGGAGAGGATAACTGAGGAACGCATGGGGTGACGGAGGAAAGAGTCATTTAGCCACAAAGACCAGGGGAAAGACAAGGACTATTTAACAGATTTCTTTTGAAGCCTGGAGAACTCAAAACAATTCAAGGAAAACTGCTTCACAGACTTTGCACAGGCTGTACTGAATGCTACACTTAAGAATCCCATTATTATCATTGCTCACTCCCTGTCATAGATTTACTTTTAGAAAGACGAGTACTGGCAAACATGGCAAAGTTTCATATATTGAATCCAGCTTTACTACTTTTCTCTACTTTTGGTTCTGAATGATGTTAATCTGAACATGTCGTTAGAATCTGATCTCTCTGGTTATGAGAACCTACCTCCTGTTTAATTCTTCTGTCTTAAAATGAATAAGGATTATTTATAAGTGTTAATCATACAAAACTACTAAGAGTTCTAGAATTTAACACTTCTCTTTGGTGAGGAGGACAGACGAGCTGACCCATGCAACAGGGCTCTCCAACACCATTATAGGCAATCCATCCCTCCATCGCAATTCCAAAGACTTAGAGAAGTAATACCAAGAAGCAGGGTGTGGAACAATATCTTAAAACACTGCACAGCCGTGAAAAACACAAATTCACAGCTTAAAAAACCCAATTACACCCTGATGGCTTCCAAAGAAATTAACAACAATAACAATCTTGGCAAAATTGGACATTCTAGCAAATTCACCACAAAAATGAGAATGCTTAGAGAACCTGCTAAATGCAACAAACCCCAAGAACTGCATCTCAGACTCAACATTTAACATGCTGACATTTGTAAACGTTCAGAAAAAGACTTTTAAAGTATGGCTTGTTAGGAAGGGTTGTCAGCAGGAAGCCTATTCTCTGTAGAAAGAAAATGGCTGCATGACACAGGTTTTTAAAGTTGCATCTGAATAAAAAACAAAAACAAAAAAACAACAACTTTGGAACGATGTCCTTTGGAAATAAAGACAAATCCAAAGTAGAGATGTTTTACCATAATGCAGTGTTGTAGTTGAAAAACAAACAAACAACATGAGCACAAGCAGTGGTTTTGTAACAATTTATTCTAGTTAAATGTGAGGCCATCAGTGGATGAGCCCTGCGAAAGCTGATGAAGACCCAGAGGGAGTGTAGATTAGATGATTCACGAAAACACGGCTAAACTCAAACTTCTCAAACCACAATGTTTCAGTGACTTGTTTTTCAAGCAAATAAAGATGGCAAGTAGAAAAGTAGAGGAATTTCATAGTTTGTGAAAGTTATTGAACTGATTCCTGGTCCACGGTTATCAGTTTGG